TCGCCATCTCCAAGCCTCGGTTTCCTCAACTATCAAATGCAGGCATTGGGCTGGGTGTGGTGGCTCAAGCCTGTAATCCCAGCACTTTGGGAGGCTGAGGCAGGAGGATCACGAGGTCAGGAGATCAAGACCATCCTGGCTAACACAGTGAAACCCCATCTCCACTAAAAATACCAAAAAAATTAGCCAGGAGTGGTGGCGGGCGCCTGTAGTCCCAGCTACTCGGGAGGCTGAGGCAGGAGAATCGCTTGAACCAAGGAGGTGGAGGTTGCAGTGAGTCAAGATTGCACCGCTGCACTCCAGCCTGGGGGACAGAGTGAGACTCCATCTCAAAAAAAAAAAATGCAGGCATTGTTTTTTGTTTGTTTGTTTTTGAGACGGAGTCTCGCTCTGTCCCCCAGGCTGGAGTGCAGCGGTGCAATCTTGACTCACTGCAACCTCCACCTCCTGGGTTCAAGCGATTCGCCTGCCTCAGCGTCCTGAGTAGCTGGGACTACAGGCATGCACCACCACACCAGGCTAATTTTTTATATTTTTGGCAGAGACAGGGTTTCATCATGTTGGCCAGGCTGGTATTGAAATCCTGACCTCAAGTGATCCGCCCACCTCAGCCTCCCCAAGTGCTGGGATTACAAGCGTGAGCCACTGTGCCTGGCCTCAAATGTAGGCATTGTGAGGGTTACGATGGGTGCAAAGCCCTGAGCACCAGGCGGCCTCCAAGCAGGTGATAGCCATGGGAACATTTTTGTTACTATTTTTTTCTTTTTTAGAGAAAGGGTTTCGCCATCTTGGCCAGGCTGGTCTCAAGTCCCTGGGCTCAAGCAATCCTCCCACCTCAGCCTCCCAAAGTGCTAGGATTACAGGAGTGAGCCACCGCGCCCAGCCCTAGTCACTATTGTTTTTTTGTTTGTTTGTTTTGAGACGGAGTCTCATTCTGTCACCCAGGCTGGAGTGCAATGGCGCGATCTCAACTCACTGCAACCTCTGCCTCCTAGGTTCAAGCAATTCTGTTGTGAGCACCGGAGGTTCATGCTCATGTCCAGCCAGGCTGGAGTGCAATGCGCGCGATCTCCAACTCCAGCGGCAACCGCCTCTGGGGGCCTCACTAGGTTCAACGCATTCTCCCTGCCTCAAACCTCCCCCCAGAGTAGTTGGACTATAAGGCCCCATATGCCACCACGCCCCTCAGCCTAATTTGTTATATTGTTTACGTACGCGACCCCAAGTTTCACCACACGTTGGCCCCACAGACCTGGTCTTTAAGCTCCTGACCATCAGGTGATCCGCCTGCGCCTCCGAGCCCCTTCCCCACCGGTGCCTGGGATTAAAAGGCCGTGAGCCCCACCGGCCTTGGGTCAGCTATTTTTGCGACCCCAAGCTCTTTCCGGTCCCTGAACTGTCAGGCTTTGATCATTTCCTTTGCCCACAGCCTCCCGCCCCCTGCATCATATGCCTTCTTACTCCACATTCAGCCCCCCAGACCCCCTCCGCGGCGCATAAAAACCGCATCCCTCACCCTTTTGATTTACCGCTGGAGTTTCCCATCTTCGCTTCCCTTCGGTAATGCCCCCCAAACCCCCCCACCTGACCCCTTGCTGCAGAGACATCTGCCTCCCTCCCTGGTTTCTCTCCTCACATGAGCCCGCTGGGCTCCTCTCCCCCCACCCCCAAAGGAAAGTCCCTCGCTATCTGTTTCTCCCACCCCACCCACTTCAACGGTGCGGCCCCGACTCCGCCTGCCCTGAGCACCGACAAGGTGGTTCTCAAGGTAACGCGGGGGATCCGTCCAAGCATGCGGGCACTTCCCCTCTGGCCGGGGTGGCCACCTCCACAGCAACCCAGTGCCCGCTGCGGGCCACCAGCAAGCCTAGCAATTTCAAAGGAGGGGGCACACTATATACTGTACTACGGCCCCAGGGTTCCGGCCCGACAGAGCTTAAGCTTGGATTCACCACTTGATCCCAAAAAACACCTGGGACGTCCCCATTTAACAGGCTGTGGATGGGAAGCCACAGAGGGGGAAAGGGCGGGCTCAGAGCCTCAGCGGCTGCCAGCGCCCCACTGCTACGGGGCCCATTTGAAGGCAGAGGGGGAAGACTGAGGCGCTCTGGGTGGGCAAAGTGGACGAGGGAAGCAGAACCCCATGGGGCGAAGCGCCTGCAGGACTTGGCGACAGCCTGACGAGAGGGAGCTTGGAGGGCGGAAAATGGGCTGGCCCGCAAGGACCCATCCCACATCTGCCCATGCGCGCGTCGGGAATCAAATGGAGGCAGAGAGAGCGGCCACAGGATACGAAACAAGGCGCGGTGATGAAGGGAACCAGGGGGCAGCGCCCCGAGGGGGATTCAACCCATTTGTTGAGCACGGTTCCTGAGCATCTATTTCTGGCCTCCAACCCACCCCCAGAAACTATCTGGGGGCAAAAAGGAAGAAAATAGAGCTGTTACTTCTCTGACCCCCCTTTCTCCAACCCTCCAACTAAACTCTGAGCATTTGAGCGGCAGAGCGAGCCTCCAGGAAAACCACAGTTTGCATTTCCCTCGGCGTTTCCCCCCAAAAAGGAGGGGTGGGGGGCGGGGCCGCGTGCCCAGTTTAAGGGGAGAGAAAGGGCCTCAGCAGAACACAGTGAAAGGGCGGTGGAGAACCGCGCCGTCCGCTGCTGTCCACCGAGAGCCTGAAAGGTAGCCCGATCCCACGGCAAAGTGGGTGGGGGGAGGCAGAGAAGACAGGACACCAGAAAGCAGGACGAGAGAGACGAGTGGGGGAGATGAGAAGTGGAAAATGGGCCCGCAACGTCCTCCCACCAGCCCGGAACCCCCAGCCAGCTTTGGGAGGACCGGGTGGGTGGATCACCCCATGAGATCAGGAGTTCGAGACCAGCCTGGCCCAACCCGTGGGCAAAACCCCCTCCTCCACGTAGAAATACCAAACATTACCCAGGTGTCGGTTATGGGTGTCTGTAATCCCGCAGCTACTTGGGAAAAAGCCCGAAAGTGGGAAGGATTGACTTTGAACCTGGGAGGGCCGGAAGGTTCGGCCGTGAGCCAAAGATCGTACCACTGCACTCCCCAGCCTGGATGAGCCAGAGAAAGACTGTTAAAAAAAAAAGTAAAGAAAGAAAAGAAAAAGAAAAAAGAAAGAGGGAAAAGAAAGAGAAAAGAGACAGGACCCGAGAGAGCTGTGGCAGAGGTAAGAGAACTGCGGTGAGGAGGGAGGCACGGACGGTCCAGGGGAAACTCCTGAGAAATGGGGTTGGGGACACAGCGGTCCAGAGAGAACCGGGCAGTGACTTGGGAGGAAGGCCCTGGGCTCCAGCAGCTAGCAGGCGCCCATGGGAGACCAGAGTCAGGGCCTCCCAGCAGTCATCAGGCCCTCCCCAGACGCCACCAATAGCCCCTCCCCTTCCGTCCTCCCGCACCCCAAGAACGCCATCCATCCCCAACCGGCGAGTCATGGCCCCGTTGGGTGAAGTGACCCAAGGCCCAGGGAGGGGCTCTGGGACAAGCTGAGTAAGAACCCCCCCCTCTCCCCAACCTGCCAC